CTACAAAAAATTCAGAAAAAATTCAACTCTTATCCTCCGATAACCTATTTTCTTCAACCACTTACAGTAGTATATTCTCAACATATGAGAAATAATATCAAGTTTAATATATTACCTTCAGAAGTCAATAACAATCTCGAACAATATATCCTTCACAAACGAGAAATGATAATAAACTTTACGAAATCTTTTCCCAAAGATCTTCAAAAATTCTTCTCTGGATATCTTGATGTAAAACTTTTTGATGCATATAAACAAAGTTTACATATGATGAAGAAATACTTATTCGAAATCGATCATTTATCAGAATTAATAATCGGTTTTCGCAATGGTCACGTGAAAATCTCCGCTATCGACGATGTGTTAAGCAACAAAAAACAAATCATATTAAAAAATGAACGCACTGAATTAGTTCAGAATCTAAACGATTTAGAAGCAAAAGCCAATTTAATAAATGATTTATTCAATCAAAATTTTCGTTATTGTAATGTCGTCGAACGTGATATAAATAAATATGATAATGAAAATACTATCAGAATGAAATTAATTGAAACTGATAATCGTGATCGAGTTCTCTGTTCCGATGATACTTTGAATCAAAATAATCAAGAACAATTCAATAAATTACGATTTTATTTGATACAAGAACAACAACGAAATTCAAACTTACGTCTTATCTATGCTGATTTTTCCTATTGTTCTTACAAATTACATAATATGTTTATTTTACCATCAAATAATAACACAAACTTATCAAACCAGAAATCATATTCATCAATCATAAATTCACCAATTATTGTTTCACTACCTCGTAGAGAACAACCTTTCATACCATCAACCAGAGAAGTACACCAACATCATCCATCAGCAACAACTGATGAAATTATCAATATTCTCCTTCTTGGTGAAACAGGAGTTGGTAAATCAACTTTTATCAATGCTTTTGCTAATTACCTTAGATCTAATTCACTTGAACAAGCACAGTTTAGTGAATCTATCGTATTCATTCCTATTTCATTTGATATGACTATTGGTAATAATTTTGAAGAACGTACAGTCAAATTTGGTAATATGAATGATTTATATAATGAAGACTTTAATCATCCTGGTCAATCCGTAACGCAACGTTGTAAATCTTACATTTTTAATATTGAACGTAGTGATAATAATAATCGAAGAAAAATACGCATTATTGATACACCTGGTTTTGGTGATACACGAGGTCTTGATCAAGATGAACACAATATGGAACATACTTTACAATATATCAATAATCTTAAACATTTGAATGCTATTTGTTTTCTTCTTAAACCAAATGTATCAAGATTAAATATCTTTTTTCGTACATGTCTTATTCAATTATTTTCTCTTCTTGCTCCAACAGCTCGTAATAATATTATTTTTTGTTTTACTAATGCTCGATCAACATTTTATACACCTGGAAATACAGCTCCATTACTGAAGGCAATGCTTGCATCATCTTCGATGAATGATATTTCTTTCAAAAAAGAAAATACATTTTGTTTTGATAGTGAAGCTTTTCTATATTTAGTTGCTCTACGAAATCAAATTTCATTTACTCATGAAGAAAAACATGAATATGAAATGAGTTGGTCAACATCAGTAAAAGAATCTCATCGTCTTATTGATTATATTCGTAACAATTGCATTCCTTATTATATACAAAGTGGATTTCAATCAATTAAACATGCTCAATTCGAAATCTCTTATATGATTCGTCCAATATTAGAAACAATAAGAAATATTCTGCGAACTATTATTTTATCTAAGATGAATATGCAACATATATCAATTGAACTATGTCCAAAACCTGTACTTCGTTCAACTGCTGTTTGTTTCTCATGCAAGCCTCATATTGTTCGTATTGGTCCCTTTTGGATTGCATCAGATTCTTTACATGAATTCCAAAATAAATGTTATACATGTTCATGTGCCTCTCATTTTCATATGCCGATTGACTATATATTAGACTACAAAAGTATAAATAATCCTTCAAGTTATCGTCTAAGTGAAATAAACGATATGCTACATCGAATATATTTTGCAAGTGCTGAACTTTCTCACTTTCTTATGCATGGTGCTTGTTCTACGAAAGATGATCAATTTATGTTAGGTTTAATGCAAATGATTCGTACAGAGAAGAATATTTGTACAGAGCGAAAATCCAATCAAATGAATATGCAATTAATCACAGAATTAGAAAAAGTTCAATATGAATATGAGCAACGAAAACGTGAAGTAACTTCAAATCAAGATCGAAAGACATTGGCCATTATTTATGGACAAATAAAGATGCTTCGAAGTTATCCAGAAATATGTGAACAAATGCTTGCCGTCGAACAAGGACAAAAAGAAATTATGAAACAAACTGAAGTTGTCTTATAATTAAAATGTGTTCACATGTTTTTATCTACTACACAGGACATTTCTACATCTATTAGATAGTTTATTAGTTTTTTTTTTTTTGAGAATTTCAAGAATAAATATTGATTGATAATTTCCGATAAATAGATATTTTGATACAACGCAAGAAAACAATTAACAAATGTATTAATGAATTGATTTATATCTCTTTGAAGATATCTTAGCAGATCGTTTTTTGTCTCGAAAAATAAAAAAAAAAATATCTATTTATGAATAGTAACTATGATTTCCTTAGTTTTTTCTCTTGTTGTCTCAAGTTGGAAACTTCTGGTTTTATTTAGCTCGTGCATGTAGAAACAAAGTTGATAGTTTCCAATACCCACTTTGTTGAAGCAAAAGAAGTGAATTCTTTTTTTTCTTGACAAACAAGAAAAAACTTTCTTTGTGTGTTCGATAAGAGTTTTGTCGTTCTATTGAGAGCGTTAGAATAAAATTACACCTTCATGTTTCTTTCTCCATTGCTTGCCTTTCTAGAAAGAAACAAAAAAAACACGTGTCAAGTAATATCCATTGGATTCAAATCAACACACTTTTTCTGAAACGTTTTAACATTGAAAGTATTGACAAACAACGGATGTGAAGGTATGTAGGAAGTAACGGAATTATGACACTTTTTTGTTAGATACAAAAAATTGTTTTTTTCGAAATTTAAATTTCTTACAATTAATAATTACTTTCATTCTAAATCTTCCAATACAGCATGAAAAAAATATCAGTATAGTATCTCTCGGATTAACAATACGAAATGAAATCATTTTTCTAAATAATTATAATAAAATGATAGTTGTAAAAATTTTAAATATCTTTCAATACCAATATAGGTTATTAATTTTTTCTCATATAGCGGTACTCTTTTGAGAATTTCCTGTCTTTTGGTAAACTGATTTTTCATTCACAAATATAACACCACGAATATGCCTTAGGCGTAGACACTGACTAAATAAAAAAAACTCTGCAGTCTTTTTACAAACTAGTGCCAAGGTGAATGCACTTACGATCTCTCAAACCGTAATAAATGATGTTCTTTGATTTATACTTCCACCTCACTTTACATGGGGCTAGACCCTTTTCAAAATTTGTTTGATTACAGAAACTCAATGCATTTGTGTTTGTGATATTTTTAGTGATTTCCATTGACGAATTTGAATAATATGCCCAAATCAATTAATAAAAGTTCAATCGACGAATCATCCGATATTATCGAGCGTAAGGCAATTAATTCAGATGGAAATCTTTGTTTTCTCTATGATGGAAGCCGAGATCAAATAATTGACAATACACATGTGAGCATGCAAGAACAGTGGTCATCGGCATCTAAACCAGCACAATGTGAAATTATAAACGGTATTGTAGACCCAAAGTTCAATATTCTTCAATTTATTCGTGTTGAACCAGAATTACGACTAAGTTTATTGTTGAACCTAGCCAAAAGATTTGGAATAGCACAAGTTTTAAATTATTCTCAACCGATAGGCCAGTACACTTGCTTTTTCTACTATTCTTGGATAAAGCATGAAAAAGTGCTCAAAAAACGACCAGGAGCCTACGACACTAGTAAACAATGGAGTTCTAGTGTTACTGCTACTCATGTGATCACTGGCATCCGCTTTGGGATCGATGTTGTTGTCATTATGCAGTTGCCATCGATAGCTGATATTCATCACAAAATCAGTTCTATACTTAAGAAGATTCGTAGCATATTGTTGAACGAGAAAAACTACCGCTTGCACTTATCTTCTCAAGATAGCAACTTACTTGAAGAAGTTCTCAATATAAAAATTTACTCCAACATACCTATGTTGACTGGTTTAACTAATATTTTTGATCTTCTATATTACATAGAACAAATTAAGAACAAAAGTGAGCTCTGTCTTCCAGTATCTTATATGCTTCAAACGATGACATCGTTGTATTCAATACGTGACAGAAAAGTGATCGAATTTAGAACTCTCCCTTCTACATTGAGAAGTACTATTGAACACAATTTGCTCCAATGTAGAAATGGAATGAAATATTTGGAAGCATCTTTGAAAGAAAATCAATCAAAATCACTGTATCAACATCAGCAGCAACTTCTTAATGAAACTGACATTCGATTTTCAAAGGTAAAAGATATATATATGCAAGAGATGCATCGATTGTCTACACTAGTAGTTGATGCCCGCAATCATCCAACAAAAATTTCCGAAATAAATCAAACACTATATAGTGACAAACTAATAAAATTAAAGAAAAATATTCATCAGCTGATTGAAAACCTTGAAAAATCGAAAACACAAGACCTTGTAAACACAAATCTACAACAGAAACACTTTGAGTCTTTGCATACAGCAGAATATTATTCGAGTACAAGCGATGATATAATTACTAGTAAATACTCTTTGATTAATAGTGATCCACGTGATCGAAATCTCAGCTCCGATGATCTTATGAACGAAAAGCGCCAATCGAAATCGACCAAACTACATCGAGAAGCGAATAAAAAAGATAATAGCAGCTCTATCTTATGTCCAACACATGCTGATTCTCATTATTCTTCATTGCCACAACAGCATATGACAATATCGACATCAGATAAAATTGACCAACTTGAAAATCGTTCAAAGCAGAAACTATCCTCTCAAGTTAGCGCCCCTGAAACTTTTTCAACTTCACCATTATCTCCATCACTGCCAATACTAAACGATGATACTATTAATATTCTTCTTCTTGGTGAAACAGGAGTTGGTAAATCAACTTTTATCAATGCTTTTGCCAACTATTTGACATTCAGTTCATTTGAAGAAGCAGAATCAAATGAACCGATTGTAATCATTCCTGTCTCATTTATTATGACGATTGATGATAATTTTGAAGAACGTTTAGTCAAATTTGGTGAAGTCGATAATTTAAACAATGAGAATTTCAATACCCTTGGTCAATCCGTAACACAACATTGTAAATCTTATGTATTTGCTCTTAGTAATGGTGATAGAAGAAGGGTACGTATTATTGATACACCTGGTTTTGGTGATACACGAGGTCTTGATCAAGATGAACAAAATATGGAACATACTTTACAATATATCAATAATCTTAAACATTTGAATGCTATTTGTTTTCTTCTTAAACCAAATGTATCAAGATTAAATATCTTTTTTCGTACATGTCTTATTCAACTGTTTTCTCTTCTTGCTCCAACAGCTCGTAATAGTATTATCTTTTGTTTTACTAATGCTCGATCAACATTTTATACACCTGGAAATACAGCTCCATTACTGAAGGCAATGCTTGCATCATCGTCGATCAATGATATTTCTTTCAAAAAAGAGAATACATTTTGTTTTGATAGTGAATCATTTCGATATTTAGTTGCTTTACAAAATGAAATTAAATTCAATGCTGAAGAAAAACAAGAGTATGAAATAAGTTGGTCAACATCAGTAAGAGAATCCAATCGTCTGATTAATTACATTAGTAAAGAACTAAATGCATATCGTATAGACAAAGGATGGCAATCGATTAAACATGCTCAATTCGAAATCTCTTATATGATTCGTCCAATATTAGAAACAATAAGAAATACTCTTCGTAATCTCATCTTATACAAGGCAAACCTATCGAATCAATACATTGAAATAAATTCGAAACCTCTTCATTTCGCATCCAGTCGTTGTCGTTCTTGTAAAGGCGATCTACAGCAAGTTGGTCAATTTTGGATTTTATCTCCTAGTCCACATGTAGTTCATAATGACTGTCTCATGTGCAAGTGTACGCTTGATCTACATGTTCCAATTGATTATGTTCTCGACTATAAATGTTCAAATAAAACTTCCAATGATCTTCAAAATAAAATGACTGATATACTAAACAAGCTGTGTCATGTAAGTGCTAAATTAGCTCATTTTCTTATCCATACGGCTTGTTCTACAAAAGATGATCCATTTTTGATGGGCTTGGAAGAAATGATTGTAGAAGAAACATATATCTGTGAAATTCAAAAACCAAATGATTTCAACATACAATTGGTTCGAGATTTGTCAAAACTTGAAAGTCAGTATGAAGAACAGAAGAACAAATTGAAATCAATCCAAGAAAATTTTGATCTCTCCGCTATATATAATTTAATTAAGATCGTCAGCGATTATCCTACGGTGCATGAACAGATGGTAGCTGTTAAGAAAAGACAAAAAATGTTGATTGAAGAATACGAATATGAAGCAGACAAGATTTAATAAATACATTATTTGTAAATTTTTTTAAATAAATTTTCTTAGTAAAATCATTCGTATTTAAATAATATTGAAAAAAGGATGTTTGTCTTTTTGTAGCTATCGATTCAAAAACATGAAAGCTTTCATGTCATACATATTGTTTTATTTGATTGAAGGAAAAGAAAGTAGTTATGCAAAGAACAATATTAGAAATATTAAAAATCTATTTAGATAAAACGAGACGAGTACATAACAATAGGTTAGTTTACGAATCTGACTGAACTTAATATGTCTGTTATTGTTTCCTAGATATATATAATTAACCCTTAAGAGCCCCATGTCCCTTCCAAGGAACATTAGAAGAATTTCAATAAATTCTATTACAAGAGCTTGTATGCAAAAACCAATATTTTTCTAAACCTACATGACCTTAGTAATCATACAGAGATGAAAATACAATTTTTAAGTGACTCATAAGTCGAACAATGAATCTTTTACGACTCGTTATTTTTTTAGCATCGCTTTTCTTTTCTGAAGTTTTTTTATTCATATAAACGACGCGTGGCTTTGGTTTTTTTTTAAGTGATATTATTAAACATAGTGTTAAGGTATTTGATAAAGCCATCTCGTAAATTTTAAATCATTCCACTAACGCAGGACACTATCATAAAGAAAATGTTCCTTCTATAGGATATTCCGCCTGAAGAAAAAATCGAAACAAAGAGATTTTGACTTAAAATTTTGGTGATAAATAGCTGATACCCTATTTAGAATACCCTGAAATTTTCAGCAATAACTGTTATTTACTTTTGGAAATACGGCATGTGGAAGAGACGCCGAATTTCATGAGTTTTTTGCAAAATGTTGCCGACTTTTTTTCTGCGTTCAATGTCTCAACAACAAAACATACGTTTTGACTGAAAATTTCACGACAATTTAAAGGATCATATAAACTGATTAAGGGCGAAATTTCAGATGAAAATTCCTTTCTTTCATGTTTTTGGAAGGTCCAAGATTGCTGCTAAAGGACGTTGTGTAACTCTAGAGCAAGAACAAGGTACTTCGTTTTAGCTATGGTATGAACGCACTGAGAGTCCATCAGCTCTATTTTTATGATTGTCTTCCTTCTGTTGTAAGAAAAAGTCCCTTAGGCTTTTAATGGTTAATCTAGTAAGATACATATGTAGGCTGAAGTTTGAATTCAATTTGATCATATTCTATTTGTATTAAAACAATAGCAACCAAGTTGTGACAAACCACAAAGCAACTAGCTCATCTTCACTGTGCTTTTGCCGTCCACTGTCGCCTTCTTTACAAACCATCAGAGTTACCATTTGATTGAAACTTAGCATTTCCACTGAAGTTATTTTCATTGACGTTTGATTAGTTGAATTCAACTTTCAAGTTTTACACTAGGATTGATTTCCGTACTGGATAGATCACTCAATCATGTATAAAATTAATCTTCAGCCTAAACATAAAAACTAGTTTCAATAACAACTACTATCAGTGATTCTGATATAGATATTTATTGTAAGAATAATATTTGTATTTCTATATTCAAAATTGATTTTTAAACAAACGTTTAGTCATGCCAATTCTATAACGTCTTTTTTTATATTTGTTTACTTTAATTCGCACATTAACTTTCAAGTGAAAAATTGGCAAAAATAGATGCAACAGATGGATCATTCCGACTAATAATATGAAGTTTTCTTGTCGAAATTCTTCGTTTCCACTGCAATTCTAATGTGCAAGATTCGTCTCTTGCTGTACAGATAATAATTATCTGTAGCTACTAAAAAAATAATTTTCTCTTTTTTTGTGTTGAAATCAAAAGAATATGTTGAGATATAAAATTTAAATATTCTTATCATTCTATATTCACTACTTATTCTTATCATTGTCGTATGGCTGCTTTGTTACTCCTAACCACATTGCTGGTGATATCTGGTGATGTAACTGCTTTCAATGTCATGGGCTATGCGAATGTTCAATATAGCATTCTCTACGATCAATATCGTGATATATTATTTCAATCTTTTCCATTTATGGGATATCCCTTGCAAACTGATTGGATATCATTACCTATTCTTCATAGTTTTACAAATGGTTTTTTTTCTGGAATTTTTTGGAATTTATTAGAATTCAATGCAACTGAAAATATCTTGAAAATGGCAATCGATTTAACATTACCATTAACTCCAGTTGCTAATATTACAGATACACATGATGTTGGTTTTGTAATTATGTCAAGTTTTGGTCATGGATATCATTTATTAAAATTACCCGAGTACTTACAAATTATTATTACGACTGCTGCTTCATTATCTACTCGATATTCACCTATAGTTCGATGTACACGATCTTGGGATAGTAAAGAAGGTTTTCTAGTTATTATTGATAATATGATGAACTTAGAATTATTATTTGAAGCAAGTAATCAAACAAATAATCAAACATGGTATAATATGGCATGGCAACATGCTAATCGAACTATGTATGAACATTTTCGACCAGATAATAGTACATATCATGTAGTTGAATATAATGAAACTGATGGAAGTGTTATTCGAAAGTACACTGCACAAGGTCAATAAGAAATTTTTTTGTCAGAATATTACTTCAATGTATTTTTGTATAGGTTATGCTGATTGGTCAACATGGTCTCGTGGTCAAGCTTGGGCTGTACATGGATTTACTATTGCTTATCGTTATACGAAATATCAACCTTTTCTAGATAAAGCTATTGGTGCAGCAAATTATTTTCTGTCACATCTTCCTAGTAGTATAGACTTAATTCCATATTGGGATTTTGATGCTCCTCATAATTCATCACTCAAATATCAAGCACGAGATACTTCAGCTGCAGCTATTTTTGCTAGTGGTTTAGTTGAATTATCTCAATATGTCACAATACCTAAAACGAAAGATTATTTTTTGTCAAGTGCTAAATCTATAGTAGATCAACTTGCAAGTCCAACTTATTTGATATTAGGTAATAAAGATTATGTGTTGCGTGCAATTATTGCCAATGGAACACAAGGTCCATATCCTGAAAAACCTTATGATGTAGCTACCGTATTTGGTGATTATTATTTGACACAAACTATCTTACGTTTATTTAAACTTTGATCATTTTATTCAATCAAAAAAACTTTTCCTTCGATGATTGTACAAAAGATATTTCATAATTGATAAAAACTAAAGCACATGCAGAAGAGAAAATTTTAATTTTAATTTTATATGTTTTAGTTTTTTCTTTACACTTATTGTTTATATAAAATAAACGAGAGAAATTAAGCAAGTAAAAAAAAATTTTCTATTTCTACACATACGTACATACTGGAAAACTGTCGCAAGAGAATTAAAAGGTCTCTTTCTATTTACCGATACTGTTCGCCATCCTTCATCCTGTCTTTCAGTGACACTAGAAGTCTTTTGGATAGTATCCTTCACATCGTCTCCTTCCATACTTTAATTCGTGTTTAATTTAATAAGAGCACCTTTCTTATAACGAAAAAGAAATTTACTAGAATAATGCAAAAAGTAATATTAAAATTTTGAGAAACTGTGCCTAAGAATGGGACAAAAAACATACTTATCTTGATTGACTATGTATACAAGCATTTCACACTAGTTTAAAAATATTTTTATATATGCAAAATCTTTGAAGTTTGCTCTTTTAGATGCTACAATTATAATCTTTCTCTAAAAGGATATGGTGGGGATTAAGTGCATAGTTACTACAAATTGTTCACTTTTTCCATGATGAATAAGGTAAAAATCTCGCTGATATATGTGAAGATCATGCCGTGCTCTAACTGAATCCAAATGCTCACCAGAAAGGGTGTGGGTATGGATGTTTGGCAAGTCGATCGAGAGAACAGGCATACCCGAATATTCAACTAATGAATTGTAATAGTTGAATAGTTAAAAAGTTGAATATTTAAATTAGAAAATATTCTAGCTGAAAACTCGAATAGAAGTTTAGAACTCGTAAAAGATTTATCGATTTATACACTACTGCAAAAAAAGGAAGAATATTTGCTCTTTGCGTTCGATAAGAAATTGGTCGTTCTATTAAAAACCTTACCATGAAATTACAGCTTCATGTTTTTCACATTGCTTACCTGTCTCAAAAAAAACAGAGAGACATGTGTATCAAGTAATATTCATTGGAGCCAAATCAGCACACCTTTTTTCAACTCTCTTTACATTGAAAGTGTTGACAAACAACGAATACCAAGGTATGTAGAAAGCAAGCAGATAATGGCTCTCATTATGGGTTATTCATTTCAAAATAAAAGAAGAATGGATATTTTTTTAAGATAATCAAAATATATGTTTAAACAATTTAAAATATCGTTCAATATCAGTACGATTTATTTATACTCTGTCATGTACAAATACTCTTTTGAGAATTTGCTCCTGTTTAAAAAACTTTTTCTCTCTCAAATATAACAACAGGAATATGCCGAGATTTCAGATATTAACTAATTAAAGAAGGCTCGAGAGTGTTTTCACAGATTAGTGCAAAGGCAATCACACTTGCTGTCTATTAAACCTTAATAGATCATCTTCTTTGATTTATGTTTTCATCTTACTTTACATGGAACGAGGCCTTTTTCAAAATTTTTCTAATTACACAAACTCAATCCATTTATGTTTGTGGTATTTTTGGTGACAGCAATTGATTAAATTGTATAATATGGCAAAATCAGACGGCGAAACTTCAGCGAAACTATCAGCTGCTTTCATTGAGCGTAAAGCCATCAATTCGGCCAGACGACTTAGTTCTCTCTATGCTGCAAGTCGAAATCACGTAACTAACCAAAAGAAGTCATACTGTCAAGAACAGTGGTTACAGTCATTTAAATTAGTAAAATGTGAACTTATAAACGGCACCGTGGACTTAAACTTCAACGTTCTTCGATGTATTGATATGCAACAGGAATTACGAGTAAGTTTATTGTTAAACTTAACGAAAAGATATGGAATATTGGAAGTCCTTATTTATCCTCATCGTATAGTCCAATGCACTCGTTTCTTATACTATTCTTGAACTCACGGTAAACAACAATATCTCGACAATGGGGTACATGTCCTGGAAAATATGAACATATGGAGTGTGGGTGTATATTTTGTTAAGCTAACATGCACACTCATACACATCCATACCTCACATCCTTGTAAAACTTACATTTAATGAATGAAAAACACTAATGATTTTTATTATTCAATGCTATGCTTCTTTTTCTTATTTGGTTTTATTTTTATAATGCTGTTTACCATATTTTAAAAGCATTGTCAACTAAAAATAACAAATCATTTAAGCTGAATCTCACCATTAATTGCAACTTCTTTTTCTATCATTGTGCAGCCTTATATAAAGCCATGAGACATAGAAGTCAAACAAAAAGCAATAAATTTTCTCTTTTTTATTCGACAGACTTTTTATCGAGTGAAAATAAAAGATGAGTTGTAAAAATAGTAAAGTTAGTGCAACACATCGATCAAGAGATCGACGTCTTAACTATGATGATGATGACGATAACTATAGCAAGAATGACGTCATATTTTCACAGCAAACTATAGATGATGATGCTATCATTGCTAACCTAACTGGTGAAGATGGTCATATTCCAATTCTAGTTGCTGATCCACAAGCATTCAATAATTCATCTGTTCAACAACATCAATAAGCCATCGACAATTGACCTTATCAAGCAGTGATCGAATCATCCCAACCAAAATCTTTTCAACAATTTACGGACATCATTAAAGTATTTTCCAAATGAAAATCAATCATTGACACTCATCGGATTATATTTTATTGAATTGTTCGTAACATTCAATATGACAGTGGAGCATATATTAGTGGCAAATGTAGTGATCAATCACCAGAAAAAATATTTCGAAAACGAAAAGGTATTTCTATTGGATATGGCAATATATATAAATATTTATGTGATCAATTACAAATGTCGTGTCAAATAATCAGTGAATATACAAAAGGTTATGAATTTGCACATCGCATAGATGCTCCTAATAAAACTGATGATACATGAAATGTTGTTGAGATTGATCATCATTGGTATTGAATAGAATCAACATGGGGTGCTGAATATTTCAATAAACAGATTATTTTTCAACATGAACCGAATTCATATTATTTTTTCTCACGTCCTAATGAAATGATCTATCATCATTTACCTGATGATGATAAATGGCAATTATTACAAACTCTAATAAAAATGACACAATATTTAGAAATTCCTCACCTTCACCGTCTTTATTTCGATTTAAATATTGAATTAGTTAGTCCACGTAATCAATATCATCTCGATCTTATTCCTGGTAAATCATATGCTCTAGTATCTCTGAAAGCGCCGTTAGATGTCTAGCTCATGACAGATTTAAAATTAAACGATGAAGTTATTGATAGTAGCAGTTATATTATGCTCGATAAACGTTAACAGATTTATTGTTGTTAAATTTGCACCAATCAACACTGGTAGACATAAAATATATGTTTATGGGAAAAGAGATAATTCATTTATAAGTGAATACAGATCAGTACTAGACTTTGTACTCGATGTAAAACAAATGTCACAAAATTCAATTAGCATTCCAAAAAATATGGAAGAACTTTTCTGACTTCGACTTGGAAGTGATCTCTCCTCGAAATACGTATCTAATGTAACTTAATAATGGAGATAAGCTTGCCGAAATTCTAACAAAAACACTCGCAAATGTTGAACTTCGCGGACATCTTCAGAATGAACGAAAACAAGAAGTCATGGGTGGAAAACAAGTTTATTATGGTCGACGAAAAAAATATCTGGCGATGTAACTTTGCACCTAATCGTAATGATCTTTTTGAAGCACTTGTTATGGCTAAGAAAAAGACTGATCCTGAAATTTATACAACTGTTGTTGCATTCAAAATTGAAACTAAACACATTCCATCATCACCCATATCTTATCATTCCACATGACAACTCTTTCACGATCTTGACTTCAGAATTGGAGTACCAGAAAATCGTGCAAGCGCTATTTGGCCTGATAATGCATCTTACGCTAAAATTTTTATACAAGCATCTGATGATATTCAACTTTCATGTGATATCAAATATGATAATGTTAAAATTGAGAATGGATCATTAGCTCAATTTAATAATGAAAAAAAAACCTTGGCAACTTTTATTTGCACCAGAACGAACAGGTCAACATGAACTCATTGTATATACGAAAAAAATTAAGGATAATGAATCTTCATCAAATGCAGTAGTCAAATTCAATCTTGATGTTGGGAAACTTCAACGACCAATGAAATCTCCTGTGATTTATAATAAATTTAAAACTGAAAAATGTCAAATCTATACATCGATAGATGAAATATTAAAGAAAGGTTCTATTGTTTCAATTCATTATGTCATTCCAGGTGCTAAAAGTGTCAATTTGACTGTTGATTCGCAATTACTCAGTAATGAAGGTTATAAAGATCTAATTCGGCAAAGAGAAATTAGAGTCGGATCAAAAGACGTAGTTATCTATGCCAAATATGGACGAAACTTATCTTTCGATGGTTTGATGAAATATACTATTTAATGAATACAGGATTTCTTGTTTTTGTGAAGAGAGGGAAGAAAAGACAAATGAAACGATTGCTTTTTAATATATGGTTTTAGTCAAATGTAAAACTAAGATACCTCGACATTTCATATCATTCCACTTGTCGTCAGAAGTGTTTGCGAGAGTATTTAGCAAAAGGATAGCTTAAATATAATTTTTTTTTCTTTTACACTAGGTTTCGCTGAAAAAAAAAGAATTTCATAGAAAATATAAAACAATAACATGATTCATAAAGTAAAGAATGTAGACATACATAGTTGGAGATAACTTGTAAATAATTTCGAAACTAGATGCCCGTATATGCATAACGAAGACTTAATCTATAGGAATGCATAGAAAAATTGTGAGACACTGAATAGGGTGTGCGTGTGGGGCATAGATCAATCATGATTTAGATATTTCATTTCACCAACGAGCATCTTAAAATGGTACTCGCGTTGATTCGAAACTCAAGGAAATATAAATTAAAACAAAGTTAATTCGAGTGTGGGTGCACAAGAGTATGCCGGGGTATGTTGTACGGCTGTTATCGTGGATATTTTCTTCACAATAAGCCACAATCACAGTCACATCCACCCACAGCCTAGTTTGTACTAACTCGTATGTTTTTTTCTAATAATGAGTTATTGAATCATCATAAAATACTCAAGCTATGGTTAAAAAGTCTTCATCCAATTATCTTCACTTACGTTACAGCCAGTTTCAAGTAGATCAATATTTTCGAATTCACATTCTTCTTTATTTAGATAAATATTTGTTCGAAAAATTGAAAATATTCTTATGAAATAATATAATTTAAACAAAATAAAGAAATAAACAGTTTCATGATCTTGTTTGTTGAAGAGAAATAAAACACGCAATCACCTATCATTCAATAATGACTGCCATTTTACATCATATTCTTCATTAGCACAACAAAAGTCTTCCCATTGTTCAATCGTTGCCTGTTCACGTCGATTGATTTTCTTATTAGTTACTTGTCGACCTGATGACTCATTTCCATTGAGAAAAAATCCATGTTTACCTTTCTTACAACCACCTTTATATATAGTTGTAAATGGTTCATCGCAACAAATCCATTTGAATCTTGTTTTTTGCCGTTCATATTCGTTACGTTGATTAGCATCATTGAGAGCCTTATGTTCAAGTCTATTTAATATCTTAGCTGCATCACTTGGAGCATATATTGTAAGATCGGTTGTTGCATTGTCATAGACAAAACCGTCATGATGAATGCAACTACCTATAATGAAAAACAAAAAACAAACCGTGTAGGATCTAAACATGATTTATATATATATATGAACATACCCAGACGATTTTCATTTTCAGTATAAAAATCTTTACATTTGACACATTTGATAAGTTCTTCAGCCATGCGTCTTTCCAATTCTAATTCTTCTTGTTCTTGATATGTACGTGGAAATTGTGCCTCTTCAGTAAATTGACGTAACAGAAATGGTTCACGAATTACAGCTATTGCCCATCGTTCAACATTATCAATTTTATCTTCTTGAATATTTTCCATAGCTCGATCACGAAATCGCGCAAGTACATATGTATATATACTTTGATTGTGTATTGAACACGATATTGATTGACCCATATTCGAATATGATTGTGATTTATTTATACCGACTAATGCATCTAGATCATAGACAATCATTGAACGTGAATAAGAAACACATTCATCATAACGATCTTTTAATGTTTCATAGACTTTTCTTTCATCATAAGCACCTTGTGAAGCAAGTAAATTAAGATCAATTAATTGAAGAAGTTGAACATTACGACTCTTTCCATATGCTGTTAAACGTTCAAGTAAAGTCTGAACATTAGTTTCATTTGGATATAATTTACGTTCAACAATTGATAATTGATTATTGTTTGTATTAGCTTTTTTTGTAATTACTTCGATACGTATACGTTGATTTTGTACGTCAACAATCATACGTCCTGTATACTTCAAACTTGGTGGTAATTGATGAATATGATGATTAGTTTCAGTAAGTTGATTACGTAAAAGTAAACGAGGTAATGTTTCACTACCAATAAATACTTGATATTGTTGAGCTATAAGATCGGCTAGTCGAAGTGCTTCAATTTCAGCCATCGGTTCCGAAAATTTCATTTTAATACATTTAACAGTGATTGCACGAGTCAATGCTCTAATCATTCATAATAAACAACAGAAAAGATCTTTAGCAAAATACTTACTTGACAGCAGCTCCACTAAAGTTTGTTGTAGCAATTGAAAGTCGATCGAGTACTTCTGGTTCCAGTGCCCAAAAAGGTATTTTTCGAAGGATACTAAGACGTGCATTCGATGATGGACGACCAACAAAAAATTTGCCTGACATACGACGTAAAAATGCTTCATCCATCATATGTAAACGATTAGTAGCACTTAAGATCATTAGATTTGGTATATCTTTGATGCCTTCAATCAGAGATAAAAGCACAGAGATCTTATCTACTTTGCCTTCACTCGAATCTTGATTACGTTTCGGTGCTAATGAATCAATTTCATCAATTGATACACAACACATAGCATAAGGTATTTGATCACAACGTGAACATAATGCAATTATTATGCGTTCACTTTCTCCAACAAGTGGTCGATTCAATTCACCAGCTGCTAATGGTGGACTTATCATTACTATACCCATCTTTTTTGCCAATTTACTCAATATATCTGATTTACCAGTACCTTTTTAATAGAAATAAAATAAAATCTATTTACAAAAAGATTTAAGAAGGGCACATGAAGCATGCGTTAGAAAATGCTCAATATTTTAATCATTTGGACTTCTTCGGTGTATTAAGATCTCTCCCTGTCAAAAATCTATTTTCATGCCAGTGGATGTGGATGACTAACACTTCCCGCTGCAAACCTACAGAGCAGGATTGTTTGAATTCTTTTTTGTTAATTTTTCGTGTCAGCTTTTTTTTTCTCGAAAACTCTGAAAAATAGGAGTAGTCCTGTAAAAAAAGATTCAATGTTCTCAAAAACTAAGTCAAAAATGAAAACTTGGGCTCTATTAAGTTGTTTAACTTTCTAGCATTTAATGATATCTGAGAAATCTGGGATGTACAAACAACAAAAACTTTGTATTGAGCAAAACATCAAACAAAGTTAAAAGTCTATAGGCAAAGACACAGGACTGCAAAAACTAAGGAGTGACAGTGGTTTCGTTTTTGTCAAAAAAAAAAATCTAAGAAATTTTTTTTCCCAAGCCAGTTTGACATGGGCAATATGATCTTTTTTTAGTGATAGGTTTGATTAATATAGCGAAAAATTGAATCGATCAAAATAGTTTATGTAATTGTGAAAATCGCAAAAACAACTGCCTACTAGTGCGAATAGATGACTTATAAACATTTTTCGATTTTTGAAGCACAGAACGCTCTTCAACTTACCAGGAGGCCCAAATAGAAGCAGACCACGCGGAGGTTTGACTAGTTGATTGTCGACAGGTTGCTGAGGTGTGTTTAATTTCGTTTCGATCATGTTCAAACGTGCCTTTTCTTCTTCGATTTGTGTCTCAAGTTCCGTGATTTGCATTCTAATAGCATTTCTCGTTTCTTGCAATTCATTCAATTTTTTAAGTAGACTGGACTTGCGCTGTTCGAATTCTTTATATGCTTGATGAAGAATTTGTGCCTGTTCTTTAGTGTGCTTTTTTGACTTCCATCCGAATACTCGGAATGGTTTTATAGTTCCTGTGTGTTCGATATTATTACTTTTTGAATTCAACGTTGCTGCTGTGTTTAAATAATGCCGCTCTGCATCATCGATACTCTTCTCTACTCTATTTATTTCATCATTGCATTTGTCATAGTCTTTGATCTCCTTCTTATGGTTAGTTTCGAATTCTTTGAGATTTCCAAGTAATTTATCACGTCTTTCTGACCAACCACGTTGAATATGTCCATCCGATGACCAATGTAAATGCAACTCTTGTTGAGAGATAGTAAGTGGAAGAAAAAATTCTTTCATTCTCGAAAATAAACCATCGTCGACAAAACCTTCAGATTGCATTTCTTTAAATGCTTCATCTAAACATTTTGTTTCAAGTTTAGCTAAATTGCCAATTCGTTTTACTTCTGGTTGATCACATAATATATGCCACACATATAGTTTAATTAAATGCAGATTAGCATAAAGTTCAGAATCGGAAATTGCTAAATTCTCTTCAATATACAAACAAACTAATTATGAATGAAATAATTATTGATCGACAAACCTGATATAGTAAGAGCTTCGATCTCTTCTTTATTTTCATCTTTAGAATTATTTGTAATTTGTTGACGTTGTCCGCCAACAGTACTTGTTCGATGTCGATCAGCTGCTGCTCTCAAT